CATATACATACATATACATACACATAGATATTTATCTATCTATCCGGTGTGCTAGTGCTGCACGCTCAGGAGGGCGTCCTTTGCAGCTTAACCTTACCTTCGCCTTCCTTGAGAGGACGGACGCCTCGTTGCAATGGACGTCGACCCAACTTGTATCCAACCAGGAGGGGCGTCCAGCCTCCAGGAATTTGCATCTGTCGGTGACACGCATAGAGGCCGCCTTCTCGAAGAGGAGGATTCCAGGCAGGGGCTTTGATGGCTTTGCTATTCCGGCTGTGGAGAGGATGCCTGCAAGGAGGGCCAGCTGACAACCGATTCTTGCTGCAGGTTCTCTTTCATTACAAGGTCTTTTGGGGTGCCAGGCTTACTGCCTCACATTCCAACGAATTTGGGGACTGAGTTCAGCTGAGGATTTGGACAAGCTCTTCGGTCAAAAAGACCCCGAGGTGGGCTGGCCCCCGACTTGCGACGGTTGCGATCTGATCCGGCACTTCTCTTCTGCTTCAGATGGCGGACCTCATGTCGGAGGTGGGAAGACCACAAGGTCTGGTGCGACGGGCTCAGGACTTCGAGGGGAGGACCAGGAACCGTCGCCGGCAAATTGCGCCACTGAGTCACTCACAAGGTTCGACGTCGGCGTGTCAAGCGTCCAGTCGAAGCCTCTGTGACAGTGGCATCCTGTGCCAAAAGCAGTGACTTGACTCACTCGCAGGGTTGACGACAAGAGCCGTGGCTTCAACATGTCCAACCTCTCTCGCTCCGCGGACAGTCGTCGCATGTGACTTCTGAGTCACGCTGAGTCGCTAAACGACAGGACACGCGGCTGGACTTGCGCATGAATCCCACGGCGGGCATCTCGGCGACCGAATGGCTGGAGGCGAACGGCAACGGCACGTTCTCTCACAAGAGGAAGGAAGCAGAGCGCTGCGGCGTAAGGCCGCCTCCTCGGAGGAGATCGCCTGGGTCCTGCGCGAATACGGCGATGACTTTCAGGATGCTGTGCAAGAAACTGCCCAACTTTTCATCGCATCCGTATCTCCCAGGACGACTTGGAAGCCGAAAGGATAGCACAGGCTGGAACTGAAAGCTTGTCGACTAAAGTTGGCCTGCACCCTGGTGTATGGACAGTTGATTTATGACGACCAGCAACACAGTCAGCCTCCCTGTTTGCTGTCTTGCCCGCTTGCCAGCGTGATTCGGGTACGCTTCATGGCAGATGGCCCTTTCTATTCAATGCAACGCTTCGCTGAGCTGGTCGGGCAAGCGAAGATGGCAGAGACCCAAGGGCGTTTTCTGACTTGATCTGGCTGCGTGCGGTGGCATACTGCAGGTCGGCGATGAAGAGTTTGAACACACGATGCGAGGCTTCGGAGCCGTGACGCAATTGCAGTTCTTGTGCACATCAGTGTGCAGTATGCTTCTCAATGCCAGGGAACATGCATCCTGCTCGTTTGACCGTGCAGGCATAGACCGCACTAGACAGCTTGGGTCCGAGTGCCTCGATGCAGCGACAGGCAATCCGTCTCTTCCTGAACTCGGAGCTCGAGTCGCTGCAGCAAGGCACGTGACTTGAGAGAAGGTGGCGCTGTCCCCTTTCAATGTGCCTTCATTCTGTTGGCCTACCGCCCCAACTGCCCATTGTGAGGCCTGGAGGCGGCTTTCGGCTGCCTGAGCCACGGCGGACGATGCCTGATCACCACCTTCAAGCGTAAGGAGGATGGGCTGGAACAGACAGAGACCGACCCCGGCTCTGGGAAGGGTCGCCGCCAGCAGCGGGAGTAGATAAGATTGCATTGCATGCCTTGACTCACTCCTGCAGGAGATGATTGTTCGTCGTTTCGTCAAGAGATTCGAGGACCCTGATGAAGCCACAGCCCAGACCTGAAATCTTTGTCCGAGCACAGTGGAAGCCCTTCAATCGACCTCATTGCCCAGGTCGCGAGAATCAAAAAGAAAAGGCTGCACAGGGCAAGCAACTTAAGCGTTGTGGTTGTGATCATTTGGTCTCGCTCAGGCGTCTCGTAGAGCTCTACCCTCTCTGCGGGCAGCAGGGCTCAGTGCGGGTGGGTTTGTTTGCTTTATGGATTGCAAGAGTGTGAGGACAGATCTGGACTACTCCGTGAGACTCATCTCCCTCCCGCTGAAGTGGGGAGCCTAGGGCCTAGGAGCTCATCACCTTCTGGTCCTGGCTCCGCCTCAAGCGGCGTCCGAGCAGTGCCGCATCAGGGTTACTGTTTGACGTCTCCGTTCAGGCCTGCAGTGGGCGAGGTGAGCATGAACACTCGGGCGCGATCAGGCCGGCGCCGCATTGCACCCTTACTCAGTAAGGGTTCCCTCACTCAAAATCCGAGCTTCCTAATCCAAGACATCACGGAATGGCTCCTTCCGTTTGCTGCTCATCTGAAGCACTTAACTCTTCAGAATGTTGAACTGTTGAATGCATACATCTGGGTGGTGCAGCAGCTTCGGCTTGTCTCCTTGAGCGAATGTTCGACTGCTTCGTGTGGAGGCCGCGTGTGAGCATCAAAGCTTGAGTCGCCTTGAAGTCTTGTTTTTTCTCAGCGTGCTACTGGTGCAAGGGGGTAGTTTAAGCCTAGTTTTAGTCGTACCTTTGTTTGTGCAGGGTGGCGTTGTATCACCCCCCACGCTTACATGGATTTCGCATACCGTACCTGAGGCACCATTCGCAAGTAGTCACGAAGTTTTGCGTGGTGGTTGTTGTGGACGGGTTCTAGCCGCCGGTCCGTGATTTCATCTCTAGGCTTCCCCCTGCGTTTCGATGGGGCCGAGCGGCCTAACAATCCAGCGTTCGAAAACTGGTGGATTAACTCTACCTTGTATCTTAGACCTGTCATAGGTTTGACGTGGTTAGCGACGCAAACACGGTACTGAATCACATTGAAAGCAGCTGATGATTTTATATGCCCTCACGCCAGACTCAGAGTCCATGTTTTGCGTTTTGTTTCCTAAGTGGTACTCGGTACTCGTCACAGAGTTTTTGTTTAGATGGGGTCTGGACTTGGTTGTGCGAAGCTCTGATGCAACCTTTTTGGCTATGAGGCGACGTGATGTGACATGCTCACTGATTTGACTTAAGTTGGCCCCTTTGAAGCCATGTGAGTCCACACTTTCGAAAAAACAGTTGCCTCCGCCTCCGACCATTCGAGCCCGCCGATAGCGTGACCTGCTCCCAATCTTAGTCTTGACTCAACTTGACTCAACGATGACCCTTCCTTCCCTTCTCAACTGGGCTCCCATGAATTGTCATCGTGCAGGCTCTCTCCACGTTCTGGAGAAAGCCCCGAGAACCTGCCCACGTGTCCGGGTCAAGCCGAGGACATGCTACAGTAGGACTCAGCGGGAAAATGATGTCTTTTCGGACATGGGAGATGGAAGGCTCCAAGCAGTGTTTGAAACAGGTAGTATCAAAGCCTCAAGCAGCACTACAGACTGTTCAGTGGATGGCAGCAGGGTAAGGTGGGGAGGGGTCATCGTGCTTGGCAGGGACACCAGTTGAGACATTGGTTCAGGATGACGAAGAACCGGTTTCGTGAGCCGACTCGAGTTCCGATCATCTAGTGCGGCGAGGCTGAGATCTTATCTTTGGTGTGTTTCACTGGCGGGGCACATAGCCAACTTTGCGGCTTGATCATGTTTGTTCCAGTCGCATGTTTCCTTGCATGGTCGCGTGACCGGCATTAGACCAACGTGGGAGACGAGCCTATGCGGAAAATTTTGAGCACCTTGCACCCCAGTCGCATGCTCGAACTTGGGACAGCCAACCTGATGAGCTCTAATTGGTCGGAAGGCAGATGTGCTGAAGTGTGCCTCGCAGGCGCAGAGGAACTCGGCATGCCTCTGTCACCTCGGCTTGAAGAAATGGGTGGCCTGCGCTCGTGTTATGCAGCTTCTCAGCTAAGAGTCTTGAAGATCCCGCAATATGTCAGGCCCAAATGCAAAGAAGACACTTTGCAAGTTCTGGCTGCAGGCAGGAGTGGACAAATCCAGCTCGCGTGAGCTATTGCTAATTGCCAGGGAACGTGCACGAAGGGCTCCTCCTGCACCTTCGCGCACGGAGACCAGGAGCTCGCCATCCACTTAAAGAGCATTCAGAGATTTCAATTGTTTCTTCACAATCCCTTCGGCAGCGATTGAACACGAATATCTCAATGCACCAAAACACTCGGTTGAACAGCCGGAGTGGACACCGAATCGTACGGTGTCTCGGCAATTTGCTCCAAACACCTGTGCTGCTGGCTTTCTTGGCCACGAAGTGTCGGGATGATGCCGCTTCGTCATGGTGGTCCCAGTCCATGGCCGGACTGTAGAAAACCGCGCTGAGTCGCCTGCTGTCGCCTGCTTTCGATGTCCTGCACTGCAACTGGAAACCAACGAGCAAGACGCACAGGACCCGGGCTGCTTCTCAAACGGAGAGATGTCGGTTGCAACGTCTGAGGGGTGCCTTGTCGCTTTTGGACGGCTCTGAAAGGTCATGGTGGGGAGATTCGGGACGTGCAAAAGCAAGGTGGGGAGTGGACCGAGGTGAGCACGGCCCCTGTGTCCACTCTGTGGCAAGGCGGATGATGCTTGAAATTCTTCAGTGGTCGGAGTTTCAACATTACCTGCATGTTGCACCATTCCATCCGTGAGAGGCCTGATGCAGAGGAGGAGCGCAGCAGTTTCGACGGCTCCTCCGCAGGGTGCGCTCTGAGTGCAGAGACCATCGGAGCTGCAAATCTAAGCATGAAAGAGGAGACAAGCACGATCCCTCTTCTGTGCTGTGGGGTGGGTGCTGAAGGGTGTAAGGAAACCTTGAAAACTTGGTAGTGAGTTACATCTGTACTCATGTCTTTGTGACTATGTCACCCAGGCGAAATTCAAACCTAGTCTTGGCTTAGTGGGTTCCAATTTGCGTCCAGGTTGCTTGGGGTTAATCTAGGGTGGGGGTGAGATTATGCTGATCCTTCTTGCCGAATTGTTGTTTGAACAAGTTTCTGTATTGTCTCCTCTGCAACTCCATGCATCACCAGAACTGCTTGGACAAGTTGAAAGCTGTGAAGTACTCGTTTTTGGCTGAGAGCATTTGCACCTGCTTCGACTTGTGGTGTTTGCAGGCTGCGAACATGCACACCTGCTGTCATCCTCAGAATCTACAGTTCAATAGTTCAACAGTAGTGAGGCACACTGGTTTGAGGCTCAACCGGCTACAGTACACCTTATGCTACTTGTACATAGCGAGCAGGTTTGTCTGCCGCTTCAATGTCTGAAAGCCGGAAAATCGAAACCCCAAAAGGCCGTTCCAAGAGCGTTGACTGCGAATAATGCAGTTGCCCGCAACTTCCGGACTGTCTAGCCTGAGAGTGTTTCTGCGTAGGCTCTTGGCGAGCTCCATCAGCGTCGACAAATCAACATGTGCCCGCTGGCAGAAGGGACACGACTCTGCATGCCGCCATGCTGTAGAGGGAATCCCGGCTCATGTGTTTCGCACGTGTCATGCCTCGATGCATCACCACGCTGTCAGGCGTCAGCTCCAAGCGCACCATCTGCAAATTCTGGGAGCAGGCCACCTCCCCCCCCCTTTGTGCCAATCATTGCGTCGGAGTAGGGCCTGCTCTGCAATGCTGCAGCAACTGTTTCCACAATCCCTCCAAATTCTGCCGTTCAGAGGGCTCCTTGATGTTTTGGAGAAGAGCTGCTGCTTGTATGCTACGTTGCGCACAATGTGACATTCTCATCACTGGTTTCTGTATATATGCAAAGGAAGTCGGACACCAAGGGGATGTCACACGATTCGTTCTTCTCACTGTCGCTGCAGGGTCTCTGCACGAAGGGGGACAACTGCACCTTCGCTCACGGGGAGGAGGAGATCGGGGCTTGGGACCCAGTCCTCACAGGATTTTGGCAGCGCCTGCACCAGGTCGCAGACAGATGTCATTGATCAAGCCCTAAATTCCAGTAAATAGGGAAGTGTGTAATCCATGCATGCATACGCATGTGCAGACACGCACACATGCAGACACATCCTGACGGAAGCACATGTACATAGATACAACACACCTGCTCGCATGCAAGCATGCACACGTGTCCGCATGCACACATGCTCGCATGCGTGTACAGACACACATTCACAAACATATGCATCTGCGTGTACATGTACATATGCACATGCACCTGCACATGCACAAATAGAGCCATGTGCATACGCAGAGGCATGCACATACACATATACATGACATGTAGATTTCCATGTCATATACACTTACACCTACATGTGCACATACGTTGCGGCATACAGATAGACGTTGCATATACATGTATATACATACTCTTAAATATTTACGGGCTGCCGCCAGTGCC